TATTTAAACTGATCAGAAAAGCATTTAGGTTGTTTTTTTGAGAAATAGTTACCTTCCAAAAAACACCACCACCAATACAACACAAAAGAACCAATAAAATTTCAGTGTCGGGTACTTCTTGGGTTAGCATAGATTTTTAAGCTTTCCTGGATCTTTTAATTCATTAGTTCAGCGGCCCCTCAACCTTTTGGGCATCAGTGACCAGTTCGGTGGAGAGAGGTTTTTCTGCAGACCAGAGGGGACGTGGTTTCATGTGCTGCCTGCATCCCGCAGATGGGGCCTCACTTGGTTTCTGGCATGTCGTGGACTGGTGCCAGTCCATGGACTGGAGGGTTGGGGACATTAATTGATTCACTTATTCAATTTTATATACACTCAACTCCCCAGGTTTTTGAGTGGAAAGAAAATCAAGGAAACAGTAAAACAATAAGAACAAATGTGTAGGCTGTACACCACCCTGAAGTTTTAAATTGTCAGTGGTTCAAGATAAACAGATTCCACAAGTATGACTGGAACTCTGTTGTTATAACCTAAGCAACAGAATCTTAGAAGACTGTCAGCAGTATCCCTCCTGCTTATATCCAAGAGAGTTTAAGGCACAGACAATTGAAATTTGTTTATAATGCTCTTTTCCTGTTCTGGGCTTAAGTCATGTCTTTCTAACTGCTATTGCCTAGTTTCTCCAAGGTCATTTCTGTGGTTCTCTACCAAAATAAAGCATGAAACTAGAAACAGAAATGGGAACCATTCTGAAACTAGATTATGGAAATACATTCATACTAGGAAAAATACTTAATGATAGTAATGTATTTACAGATTTCCTGTCCCCATAATGGGCATCAAAATAGACATATACAGATAGTCCTTCACTAACAATTTTAACAGAGCCCAGAACTACTGTAAGCTGTGGTTGTTAAGCAGGTCTCCACATGCCTGATATTATAGATAGTCCTTGACTTATGACCACAGTTGAGTCCAAAATTGCCATTATTAAGCAAGACAGTTAAATGAGTTTTGCTCCATTTTATGACCTTTCTTGTCGTTAGTGAATCACTGCAGCTGTTTAGTTAGTAACATTTTTCAATGTGAATCTGGCTTTTCCATTAACTTTGCCTGTCGGAAATTTGCAAAATGGGACAACTCGCTGTGGCAAACTTGCTGTGGGACAACTCAACAATTCAATTTAAGTATTTAAAATGATTTTAAAAATATTTTACTTTCTGTCATTCACATTTCATTTTGTCCCTCCTTTTGCATCCTTTGTTTAGTGATCCTATTTCACCCTTTCTTTGGTATTAATGTAACTCTTGGGCCATGGCAAGTTATCCCATGGCAAGTTGGCTGTGGCAAGTTGTTCCGCAGCAAGCCAGCCATGGTAAATTGGCCATGTCGAGTTGGTCATGCTGAGTTGGCCATGGTAAGTTGGCTTCACTGAGTTGTCCTAGACCTGCAATATTCATAGTTAAGATTCTTTCTATAACTTCTGCTACAGCCATTGTAGTATGTTGTTATATATTAAAATTATTTTATTACAGTACTGTGACTGGAAGGGTGCTTTCTCTTCATCTTGGCCACCTCTTTTGTCATCTAACTCCCCCAAAGGAGAAATTATTAAATAGGTAAGGATTAATCATACTAGCCATGTTTAATTTCAACTCAAGGAGAACTCAGTTTTAATTTTTGTTCTGACTCTTGTTCATTTTAGCCCCTAATAGATGATTTATGACCATTGATTTATGACCATTTGTTCAATGATCATTCAAAATTACAACAGCACTGAGCGAATGGCACTTTCTATGGGTCCTTGTGGCTCTCGCTGTGACAGGGCCCTCACAGTCATGTGATTGCCACCTGGGAATTTACCATCTGGTTCCAGATTGTGTCACAGAGAACCCTGGTCATGCAATTGCAATTTCTGACATTCCCCACAGCTTCTTAAGCAAAGTCAGTGGGGAAACCAGCAGGAAGTTGGAAGTTGTAGTCACATGGGGTCCTCACTTAATAATCTGCCTGGTTCTTGCTTAATGATGGCAACAGGGACTGCCAGAAATGCCATCACAAAATTATAGGGTCACACGTCATTGTTCTTCTGTCCATAGCACTTAACAATGACACTTTCACATTCAGTTGCCATTGTAAGCCAGGTATTACCTGTATGCAAAAACTAGAGCAGTCCGCTCCTTGGAAAAGATTGATCAGGATTTTAATCCCTTCCTCCGTAATAACTGGTTGCTGACTTTTGCTTTTCTCATTGCAGCATTGTATTTTTGGGATTCTGATTATGTGTGTTGAGGATTATATACTGTAGTACATTTTATATTGTGTTGCCCTCCCCCCCATAATGTATGAGTAGAATAATTTATTTTGTTGGCATTAGGAAGAGTAGGCGTAATATATATTATTTTCCTGGCTATTTTTGTGTTTTAAATCTTCAGTAATGACGCATCTGAGTCCCAGATGTTTTAATCTTTATTAAAGATGTGTTCACACTTTGCAAGAATCTTTTAAAAGCAAAGACTGAAGTATTGTGTAAGGCATTCAAATGGATATGCATTTCTTGATCTGGTACTTCCTGCAGCTGGGTGTAGTGCTTAATCACTGTACCAACAGAGTTATATTTCTTTCATGAAAGGGGCAAATTAAACAGCCTTGTGATCTGGCTAAGCATTTGAACAGCTGATTTCTGTTTATGCTGGGTTCTAAAGAAAATCCTTGAGACTTCAGGTGGATAAGAATTTCACCAGGTACAGCTTTCCTCAGCCCTGCATGACCTGCTGAAATTCCCTCTTTATTCAAGTCATTAAGCATACCGAATATTTCCTTTTCATGAAGTTGTAGGAAAAAAATGTATAAATGGATTTGGAATGTCCTGAGATTAAGAGTGGGTCACAAGCTTGCAAGTGGTTATTTTAAAAGCAGGCCTTGAGACTGGGAAGGTTGAAAGTAATTTGCTCTATGATTTATTACTGAGGTACTTAACCTGGAGCTCTCCTTTAAAACAGTGGGGAAAGCTTAATGTGGTACAGAAATCGGTGATCTTTCAAGGACCCTATCAGTGTGCAAAACTCTGCTTGTTATCCAACATGAGCTTTCTATTTGTTTGTACGTATAAGTCAAAGTGTTGAGGCAGGTCAGTAAGTGTGGCCTCAGAATAACAGGAACAACAACTCCATGAGAAAAAGACTTATTTACCTTACATTTTATTTCATTTATTCTAACATTTATATTGCTGCCCGGCTTGTACCAAACTCTGGGTGATTCACAGCCCAGATTTTTGATAGCTGTTCCTTTAAAAAAATATTCATTTACATTCCATCTCTCTCTGGGAGCACACGGGTGCATTTATACACAACTTGTGAGGTGGTAAGAGAATGGGTGCTTGAACCTGGGTCTCCAGCACTTAGCTGTTATACTGTTGACTATTTTGCCTTGGGCCCCATTCAAGCTAATTTTAGAGTGATGATTTTTTTTCAGTTTTATCCCTTTAGACATTAATTTGTGCCATCTCTTCAGTCTGACATTACTTTTAAAAATGGTTATCACTGTGACAATGCAGTGGAAAGAGTTGTTTTGAGCACTTCAGAGAAGACAGAGGAGCAGAGAAATGACACACGCTTTCACTAACACTCTCCCAGTTTGGGTGCTTCACAATCAAATCCTGTTGATAGAATTCTTCTCCCATGGATGGTTTATTTTTATACATTTATCTGGAAAATGTTAATATTTGAAAGTTTCTTAATATAAACATCGATGTACACTTGTGTGGGTAGAAAAATAGCACATTGGGGATCTAATTGGATTACAACATTTACTTCTACCATGCATATTTTCTATGGGAGAGGAAGCTTTGGATACAGTAGAGCATTCAGATGAATTCCACCTCCTAGTTATTTAAGCATGGTAATACTTGGGAAAAAATGAAATGCTGAAATATCTTGCGCTGTAAGGCAGGCTATATTTGTTTCTGTAGTGGTCATTAGAGAGTTTCAGATTTTTCTCAGATTTGTTTATTTCTTAAAAGTATTTGCCAAGTGCTTTGAATCATGTTGAGAACGCAGTGAACTTCAGAATGAGCTGGGTTTGATTGAGTTGGATTGAATACAAAGGTCACATATGTTTCTATTTCCTGAGTGGAGGAAGATAGCTCTCTAAGAATTTAGTGCTGGGAATGAATGTGCATGTTAACTAATTCCCATGTTTCTTGTAGAGCAACTCATAATATATAATTGTCATTTGATATGCATTAAATCATTTGCTTGCTGTGTGTTAGAGTACCAGGCTCCCAAATGAATGGAGCTAGTTTCTTTGGGATTATTCTCCATAAACCACTTGCTTTAATAAGTCTGAATTTATCTTGTCCTCCTTTGATGTGAACAACCTTTTGGGGGTTAGCGATTGTGCTTAACATCTTTGGAAAAGCTGCAGTGGGTATGGGACGATAAAAAGTGGGTGGGATTATGACATCTGTTTGAGTAGGAGCTAGATGTCTTGTTTTTTTCCTTCTGGGGTTTAGGGTTGTTACTTTAAAAATGTTAAGTCTGTTTTAAGGCTGGTGTTACAGTTATTGTGTTTGTTGCCTTTGCTGAGGAGTCATGCTTTCAGGTTTGAGCAATTGTGGCCATAGGGTGATGGGAAGAAGATGGCAAAAAAAAAAAAAAGGTTCTGTGCTCAGCCCTAGTTAAATGTTCAGTTAGTGAAGCAATATGTCAAGGGAAAGGAAAGACTCTTCATCTGATCAAATGAGAAATTCACAGTTTCATGGTAATATAAAGCTATCAAATCAATCAAAGGTAGATTCTACAGGCAGGCAGTATCATTTGGTGCTGGGCTGACTCATTATGAGTCTTCATAATGGTGGAAATAAAAAAAATGTCGAATAGAGAAGACTCTGATTTTATGTTTAAGTTTAAATATTGATGAAATCAAGATCCAGTTTTGCTGATATTTGATATATTGATCAATTCCCAGCACACACTTCATAGTGGTTGCTTTTCTTGCAGGCAGTAGCAAGATTACAACGATAGACCATGGACTTCAACGTGAGACACTGGTGATGCAGTGGCAGTGAGTATTTTCAGAGCAGTTTTTCATTTTTTTAAAAATGTAAAACTTTTTAGCCTCTTGTCTTTCATCTCCTTTGACTTCACCTCTTTTGACTTCACTTGCATCTGGATGGCAGTTTTCCCACGGATTATTTAGTACAGTAGCATGAAATTTCTAACAGCATTTTCAGCGGGTGGAAGAATAAAGGAGAAAAGGCTGGTTCGAGGTGAAATTACAGATGTATTTGTAGTGTCTACAAATCACCCAGGACACAGCAAAAAAAAACAGGAGCCGTTGCAAAGACATATTATAAAAATGAGAACTTGAGTTTGTGCTGGTTATAATGCTAACATTCCTTAAAGACACAGTGGTGCATTAACATGGCCATACTGTAAGTCAGAACATTGAAACTGCATCAGTGACAATCTTAGATTTATCTTACAGGAGGCAGGCAACATATCAATTGATTTTAAAAATATGTGGACTTTTTTTGGGGGGGCGGGGTCCAGCTCATGATATTAGTTATATAAAAAGGCACAGCTGGGCATAGGTGAAAGTCCTACAGTATTTTCCTGGCACCAATGGGTACTTTGGATATACATGGTGACGCAGTAGTTAGTGTGTAGTACTGCAGACTACTTCTGCTGACAGCCTGCTGACTGCAGTTTGGCAGTTTGAATCTCACCAGGCTCAAGGTTGACTCAGCCTTCCATTCTTCTGAGGTCGGTAAAATGAGGACCCAGATTGTTGGGGGCAATATGCTGACTCTGTAAATCACTTGGGGAGGGCTGTAAATGGAGGTGGTATTCATCCAGTTCTGACAGGTTCTGAAGAACCGGTAGCAGAAATTTTGAGTAGTTTGGAGAACCAGTAAATACCACTTCTGGTTGGCCCCACCCCCATCTATTCACTGCCTCCCGAGTCCCAGCTGATCAGAGTCCCAGCTGATCAGCTGGGTCTCCTTTTGTTACCCTGCACAGGAGAACAGAGCTGGAAAGCAGGTTAGAGAGGGGGGAAATGAGGATTTTACAGTATCCTTCCCTGCCACGCCCACCAAGCCATGCCACCAAGCTACACCACACCCACCAAGCCACACCAAGCCCACCAAGCCATGCCCACAGAACCGATAGTAAAAGAAATTGAATACCACCACTGTCTGTAAAGCACAGTGAAGTGGTATATAAGTCTAAGTGCTATTGCTATTGTGTGGATAGCTTTTGATTATAAGTACATTCATAAGCAAAAGGGTATAATCTCTGCGTGAAGACTTTTTAAAAGAGGTTATAGTATTTTTCTTTCTTTCTTTATTCCCCATCTCTTCCTCCCTGCTTGGCTTTTGCAGATCAGAGAAGTTTAGTTAGAACCTCTTGGTAACTGAAGGTCTGCTAAATTTGCTCTTGCTTCATATTATTTTTGCTATTCCCAGCAATCTGCCAATTGTTATTACTTTTGGCAAACCTTTTCACCTATAAGCCATCTGCCACTTTTCCAAAGGTTCTGCTTGCATCCTTCCTCCAAGTGCATTTGGGACTTGGATTGGACTTGACAACTGGTTGACATCTGCTGTTGGTTTAATTCAGAGCTCTGGGCTGCTTGGATCTGCTGCAAGTCTTGCAGCTGACCTCAGTCAAGAGATGCCTGCTGTGTTTGCCTTTTCTGCCAGTTAAACTGCTTGTCACAAGCTCTGAATATCAGCCTTGTTTCCAATTTGCCAAACCACCAGTGCTTCTGCATTCCTAGATTTGAGATTTCTGGTCAGGTTATTTGCCTTGGCCCATTGTGCAGATCTAAGTGCGGTCTCTTAGTTCAAATCTTTGAACAGCTGGAAATTCTACACTAGTACTTGTGGAAGACTGGGTAAGTATTTTATGGAAGAAAGGGAAGGACTTGGTTATCCTGGTCCTGACGTTACTATATCAGCACAAGGATAGGACCGAAGCTTTTTGGGGGTGTTTGTAAGTTGGGCTATGCTGTGTCATGTCAATTTTGGAGAAAATACTTCAGATGTTTTTGGAGGAAAGTTGATCATGGCTGAGCCATGTTGATTTAGATGTCCAATGTTTTGGGGAGAACATTGCCAGTCTTTTATGGGATATGAAATTTGTGATGTGGTGATTTCATCCTGTAATTCTTTTGCAGTCTCAAGCACTACAAAACTGTCTGAGGTGGTTAAACTGGTGGCTCCACAACTTGGGGCAAATCTGTTACATTTTGAGGGTGGGCTCCTCTGTCAAGCCACATAGATATTTGAAGATTTGGTTACAGGTAGCCTTCACTTAATGACTGCCCTGTTTAGCGACCACTTGAAGTTACAATGGTTCTGAAAAAGTAAGTATATGATTGGTCATTGCATTTATGACTTTTACAGTATCCATGCAGTCTTTGATCAATATTTGGACATTTCACCACTGGCGGAAATGTACAACTGTTGTAGCATCCTGCAGTTATGTAATTGCCATTTGCCTGCTTTACAACCAGCTTTCAACAAGCAGAGTTAATGGAGAAGATGGCAGTAAAATTGCAAGTTGCAATCACATGATGTCTCACATAATGTCCTCCAGTGACTCACTTAACAGCCAAATGGAAAGTGATGTCATAAACCCAAATCCATAAACCCCAAACTCCTGTTTTGTTTAATGATAAATTGCTGGTCTAAACTTTGGTCACTACGTGGGGACTATCTGTATTTCTAAAGACCTGCTTGTTGATGAAAACTTGAATAGTGGCTCTGCTTCATCCATAGCTCCACCTTGAGCTCTCCTGGTCTGTCTGTCTCTTGCCTTCATCTCACTGTTGGTTGTATATGAAAATAGGATGAAATAATATCTATTCTGTAATTGATCAGGTATTAGTGAGTACAAGATAGTGATAGCACTTAGACTTATATACTGCTTTATAGAGCTCTACAGCCATCTCTAAGCAATTTACAGAGTCAGCATACTGCCCCCAATAATCTGGGTCCTCATTTTACCTACCTCGGAAAGATGAGTCAACCTTGAGCCTGGTGGGATTTGATCTGCCAAATTGCATGTAGCTGGCTGTCAGCAGAAGTAGTTTGCAGTACTGCACTCTCAACCACGCTACTCTTGGTCCCTCAGGATTGTTGGGGGCAAAAGCTTTTTGTAGCTCTATGTCATGCCCTGATGTGCTGTGTATTGTCCTTTGGGGAAAGATGGACAATTTTTTTTGGCAAGTGGGCTGATTTGGCTGCTATTTGTAGTTGCTTTGACAAATGGCCACTACAAGGCAAACTGTAAACTGTAATCCCCAAGAATGTAGATTTGGCCTTGAATAAGGAGAAGAAATCAGTGAAAAGTTTGGGGAGGAGAAATAGCAACGATCCTGAGAAAAATGGAAAAATCCACTGTGCCGTGACTTTGCTTTGTATAAAATGGGTTAGAGAGAAACAAGTCATTCACAATTCTGTTATTGCACACAGAAAAATAAACAGGATGGGATCCCTGCTGCTTCTGTTCTTGATCTTACCTACATTAAAGGTTGCCAGAATTTTTGTGAAACATAGCATAGAAAACTGACGTCACAAAAAAAAAAAAAAACCCTAGTGGTTCATCAAATCTGTCCTCTGAGTTTGTAATTTTTTAAAAATTTTTGTTGGATGATGGATATAAGTTTATCCAGTTACGGATGAGTGATGTAGTGATGACTGACTACCTCAGATCAACCTTGAACTTGGAGGATTGGCATATATAATTTCTATATCTTTTGCGAGCGAAGTAACTTATTTCAATGTGATTCCATTAATTGCTTTCCTTTTCTGGAGGAGGTTTGAAAGAGATATTGGAAATACGAATGCATGCAAATTATGGACCGTTTATGCAGTAAGTAATAATATTTTAAGATGACTCTGTGTTCCCATTAGAATAACTCACTATTTTAATGAAGATGATAACAGAACAAAAACTATAATTCCAATGAATAGTGTCTAGACCATGCATGATTCTCCTCTCTTCCTATGGCTCATTTTCTCTTTCAGTTTCTATTCCACCCACAGCTACCATTTTCTAGCTGTCATCTCATTTTAAGGAACTCAGTATCAACCCGTTCTTATTAATGAATCAACTTGCCGTTTCCATTCCTCAATTCTCAGGGTCCTCCTCCCTCATATCTTATTAGAGATTTCCTTATTTTTTTGAAATAAAGTCTTCATTTCTGGGTTCTCTTACTATATGTTGTACAATGAACTCATCCTAAGTGCTGCTGCTGTGGAACCTATTTCTCTCTACTACTTTTATTACTTCTCTATAAACGGACTGAAATTGCTTAGTGTTGCCTGCACTTGATGTTATTTTGGGTAGGAAGAAGAGGCTTTAAATGGAAGATAGTTCATAAGTTGCCTGATCTTATGGGCCCACTGTTAAAGCCCTTCAGCAAAGTTTTTAATAACTTTTCTTAGCCCTATAACAACTTTTAATCTGTATTAGATTTTGAAGGGCAAAGTTTGAATTGTTTAACTTCTTGAGAATTCCGGTTCATTTCTTTGTTTAATTGATGTTTATTCTTAATTTTCAGGCTCTTGACAAATAATTACCTGTCTAATTTTGTGTGTGTAGATGATTATATATTGAGCCCAATTGGCCCCCTGGTTTGCATTATTATGCTGCTTATTTAATGTACTTATTGGATCTCTATTTTGTTTGGTCAGTCAGTAGCCAGTAATGAAAAACACATTGATTTCACCTTTTTATTTCAAGAGCAATTGATGACTTTTCTCAGATGCTATCAGATAATTTAATCAGCAGCTGTTGAAAACTGTTTTAATCAATGGATGAGAACATTTTCCTTGAGAGAAAGTTTATATGAGAAAATAACAGACTAGGGGGGTTAATCGAAAATTTAAAAAACACATCATGGTTGGACCTTTTTGCGAGTAATTGGGAACCTCTGCCAACTTTTACCATTTTCTCCCAAAGTAAATCAGTTATTCGCCCATTTAATAAACTATAATTATGAAGATTTCTGCAACAGGAGCAGCATCTACAGCAAATTGCAATGACACCAGA